CCTCCCTCCCTCCCTCCCTCCCTCCCTCCCTCTCTCTCTATGATAGCACCGGGGGCCTCGCTGTCGTCGCAAAGTCCCGACCTTTCTGGGCCTGTGGAGGGCGGGGGTGGTGGTACAGCTGGTCGCGGCCCAGTCGATGGGGCGCAGCGAGGAGTCCATCAAAAGCAGTCCCGACCCTACGGTCACGGTCACGACCACTGCCTTGCGGGCCTCCATGCAGCCGCCCGTCTGTAACTGCGAAGGGTGCGAGGAGACCACCACCACCGCCGCCGCTTCTGATTGGTACGAGAAACCGGCCTTTTGGGCCGAAAAGCCGGCTCGTTGGCCCGAGAATGCTGCAGTAGTGGCCGCCCCAGAGAAGGCTGCTGATGGATGTTCCTCTCCTTTCGGCGGTCCGTCCGCTGTTGATTGGGGGTGCGAAGAGGAGCGGCTCAGCGTGTGGCCCTTCGACGCTGACAAGAAGAACAATAGCGGCGGCGGCGGCGGCGGCAACGATTGTGGCGATGACGCTAGAGGAGTCGAGGGGCAACGGGGGGGGGAGGGGGGCGTGGAGGGGTACGATTTCAGCCGCAGTACAGAGGCCAACTACGAGGTGGAGGTAGAGAACGGGACGTTTGCCGAGAGGTGAGAAAATTCGTCGGTTAGGACTCGCCCTTGTTCAATACAGTGTTTGTAGGGTATGTAGGGTATGTAGGGTTTGGATGTGGTGCCGCTCCTACAACGATGGCTAGGGTCGTCGCACGTTCCGAGTGTTGCGTTGCTCGTGATGACTGATAAATTTGCATGCATGATAGTCCATGGTAATCGTTTCGCCCAAATTCCAAAATGCTGGCGTTGTAGCTAAGAATCCCACAGTCTCTGAGGGAGGTTTTCATTTGCACTTCCACCAACTCCACACGTTGAACAAAGCACACCCGTGGCCGAAAAAGCCGCTTCAATGTTGGCGCCGAGGTGCTATTGTTGTGCAATGCATGCATAGCAAACACGGTTTCGGTTGGGCTAATGTTTTGCTACTGTACATACCTGGTACTTGATTGTGGTTGTCTTCAGCACAAATCGAACGAATTCTAGCCAGCATCATTCATACTCATGGCGAATTCGGAAATCGTACTACGCAAGATCAGGCTTACGGCTTCTTTTTTGTTTCGATGATTGGTCGAGACAACAAACGATCGAACATCAAAGTTGAAAGCGGACGATATCGAAACGAGAAGCACGAAGGAAAGTACAGCACCACAAAAGCGGCATGCTGCATATTTTGCACAACGCAGGTTTAAAGAGGCGCGTTCCCTGCTGGACTACAGCTACCACTCGCACTACACCTTGGAACGGCAGCACGTGAGTGACTGAGTGACCAGCGCTGCAAGGACATACGGAGGGGCACCTCAGGAGAAGCTTGTTCCAAACCAACGGGCCCACCCTACAAGTATCTGAACGCGTGATTCTTGGACTTTTAGCTGCAACAGCAAAACACCAAATTATATATCTTGGGATGCTAGTTTATTTTTTTGCGCAACTTGTGTGCTGTAAATCGAGACGCCCGCGGCCACCCTTCCAACGAACAAAACGTTGCTTTGCAGCAGCGACCAAGTAGAGTTTGGACGCACACGGGATTCCGTCTCAAGAGGGGCACGTTTTCCATGGCCACACCACTTGACTTGCTGCAACCGGCAAGAAACTGAGTACCCCCACCCCGCCCCCGCCCTCCCCCCCCAACATCTTTTACGCGTGGTGTTCGTATTGCTGTTGGCCTTGATGCTGATGTAACGTTTAGGTCCAGGACGACATTCTGCAGGAGGCCCTGCGGACAAAAAGGCCAGTTTCTCTAGAGAACCCGTGGGCGGTGTTTACTGCGGGGGCGATGGTGAGAAATCATAAGATGGGAGGGAGACTTGCGCTCTGCACTCTGCACAACCCCTTTCGTGCACCGTGGTAGATAGCTGCTCGAATGTTTTTTAGGGCAGAAGCTGCTAGTTTTTCCAAGGCCATCCTCTCCCGACATCATATACCTCTATGTATTATGTACCTCAACCAAATCGAAGGACGCGGTCGAAAATCATGTACCCGGTATGTATGTGGGGGGAATGCCGTTTCTCGTGGTAAGGCGTCAAGCACCACGTATTCCAGGCACTTGGTAAACGACGTCGTCCGCGACATTCATTTACCAAGATGTCTTCGTGACACCACAATACATGCATCCCCGCACCTTTGGGTAACTTTTTTTTGTTTTGATTGATGTACCAGTCGGGGTGAGCCACACAGGTCAAGTTAAGGCCATACAGGACTGCTGTGTACCATGTCTTTTGCTTTCTCCTTCTCCCCTCACTCTATTAATTTGCCTCGCTTTTTGTTGCGAGGAGGATCCAGCCATCCGTCTCGCTCATTGCTTGTCGTGAGGTCGTAGGGTAAACACGATCATACATTCCTTTTATCGTCTACGGTTAGAACGCCGTTTTTTTTCTCTGTTGTCCACGTGGTGCGTAGGGTGCCGGAAAGAGCCATGTCATGGGCGTCCTGGGAGACCGAGGACTTTTCCCCATGGACGACTTTGTGCGGGTTGATCCAGATAGCCTCAGGAGGAAGTTGCCAGAGATGGAAGGGTACGTCAGGAGTGATCCGGGGACTGCTGGGTATTTGACCCACAAGGAGGTGCGTTGTTGCTTTTGTTGCTGTTGTTGTTTGTTGTTGTTTATTGATATCTTCTCATTAAGAAACCGTTGTCGTTGCTGCTGTTGTCGGTGATACCCTCTCCTTATGAAACCGTTTCGTTCTCGGCTCAGTCATCGCCTTCTAATACCCGTACTACTCTTTGGTGGTCCAACTGACTTGGACGCCTTCCGTGGTGACAGGCCAACTACCGAAGAAAGGCCCATGCACAACTTCTAGAAATCAAAACCGAAATAAGTGGAAAACGATTCAGACGCGCTTGCCTCACTTGTTTTGAGGCGGACGGCTTGCCGTCAGAAGCGCAGCAGAGGAACATTTACGGTCGATCCCAGGACCTCGATATTCAACTTCAGACTGCAGCGGAGTAGAGGGGGAGCCTACGACACACACAACCATCAGTAATCTCTCCCGTGTCAAGGCTTCAACATACTCAAGAAAGTCTGCTATCCTCCAGCAGGTTATGACCCTCAACATTTTCTGCGGAGAAGCCAATGCTGCATCCCTCCGAACGGGGTGGTGTTTCGAGCACCGGGATTCATTGTTGTACATGCATATGTAGGATTTCGACTTTTTTTGGTCTTCGCATTCCTTTTCCTCCACTGGGACAGCATTTTTTCTCGTACTTTCTTCTGCATGGCACGCAGAGGACTGGTCGTAACGACCAACCATGCATGCGACCATGCAACCATACATGCGACCGCGATGGCATTGATTGGCCATGTCCCTCTTGCGTCGCCCCGGGAGGCACATCACATACCTCCCGCAGGGGAACCTTGTATCACGTGTGTTTTTTCACAAATAGTGAATGAAAATGACACGTAGATGATGCTGCCGTTGTTGCTGTTTCAGCAAGGATAGTTGTGGGAGAGCTGGTGCGATTTCGGAGTCTTGTTTTTGCTTCCCGGAACCGAGATTCTCCTATGATAGCAATTGCGTGCTTCTTGTGAGCGAGAAAGAGACGATCCTTAGAGGGTACATGTTTCACCATCGCAGATGAAATGAGCCCACTCCTCACGGCAGACTACACAGAGTTCGGGATGCTGACGATCTAGCCTAGAATAGTTGATGTTGTTGGCTGTGGCAAGTTCCGCAGGTTACGCAAGCCACCACTCCCCCCATTGACCCTGACGCCATCGCCGTTGCGCAACACTCCCGTACTCATACTCGATGACAATATAATTTGCAGCTGTAGATAGGGCGGGGTATTGTACCTCCCTCCTGTTGCTGATATTTTGCCAAACTCTGCTATTCCAAGCAGCATGGGCGCAAGTCAGGTGTGCATGAAGTGAAAAAACGTGCTAGGAAAAATGTCAAATGCTTGTGGTGAATGTCAAAAGATTGGTAAAACTACGAAGGTTCCACCAGCAGTGCCACCAGTGGAGAAGTGGTTAAAGAGGATACCAACAACCGACACCATCACGGAAAACGAAAACAGCAATAAGAAGAACATGTTCCACAACGGCGTCAGTACCACCGCAGTACCATCATCACCAATAGCCGTGACCCCAACAGTACCTACCATACCCACCTCACTTCTTTGGTATTGTCTCGTAGGCCGGCTTGCTTGGCGAGCTCCTGGAGGAAACGGCCTTGCTACAGGGTAGGAACATCCTAGTGGAAGGGTCGATGAGGAACGGCGAGTGGTACGCTGAGCATATCAGAGACCGAAGACGACGGTTCCCTCGCTTAAGGGTGGCCATCATTCATGTACGTCACAAACGTTATTTATTTATTTTTTGAAGGTGAGGTACGGCAATATGCTGCTCAGGGAACCGGAGAAATACAAGTTGGTCATCACTCAACACGGTGCTAATTCGTTCCTAATCTATTCGGGGTTGCTAGCTGTGGAGGAGGTGGACTTGTTGTGTTTTTTTGGGGGAAAATACAAGTCGCCGGTAAGTCGAGGTTCAAGAAGCAATATTTTATTTCGCCGCATGTTTGTCTTGCACCGCGGGTCTCGTGAGTATAGATGGCGGAGTCAGTCCCTCCATGGTTCAATAGCATGCATACCTTCCGTGAGACGATGCGTTTTTGTTATTTTATGTCCGCGACGGGAACGGTACCCAGACCTGACCTGCGATGTGTTCGCTGCGGCGGAATTCATGCATCAATGATCGTCGCGCTTCTTCCCGTAGACGATATCGATTGAATTGCGTTGCAAGTTTAACGAAACCAATGACGTTTTATCTTGTTTTTTGCTTTTGTTTCTGGTAAACCTGACTTAATATCGACTACGATGTGTAAATATTGTTATGCTTCGTGATTTATGTCGTTGTATTTTCGGGAAGGTGTTTTGCGCTCTTTCGGTTTCGTCATGTCTGACTCCCCCCCCACCCGACTTTTTTGTTTGGGATCTTGCACGTGTGCTGTTTTTCATTTTTTCTTGTTCAGGTTTGGGCCCCCGAGGAAGAGGTGATGAAGAGAGCCGTGCGCCGAGGGCTTACGACCGGCCGCGTGATACCCCCCGCGTTGCTCCGGGATACCATCCGCGCGGTCCCCCGCTCGGTAGAGATGCTGGCGCCGCTCGCTGACTACTGCGTTCGGATCGACAACGTGGGGGACGACGGGTGGCGCCAAAGTCAAGAATCGCAACAACAGCAGAGCCGGCGGCCACTGCGGCAGCATAATAGCTGCCTCGTGTCATCGGAGATGTCGGATATGGTGATGATGCCGACATCGTCGGAGATGTCGGAGATGATGGTGGTGTCGGCGAGTGCGAGGTTGCAATCGTCGGACATGTCGGAGATTTCCAGGCCGGTGGGATCGTCACTGGACGTGCCAACAGCTTGCACAGGAGACGCATCGAGATCAGCAGCGGAAGGGGGAGGAGAAGGGAGGTCGGGGGCTCACAGCGAGGTGCCGGCAGTGATAATGCCGGTGCTTGCGACAGCTGGGGAAACGTGGGAATCGTTCCGGAGAACATTCGCTCAAGACCCGCCTCCGCCGCCTCCGCCCATAGGAAACCCACACGAGTGAAGCACGAGATCCTGGCTGCCACTGGCATTCTTGGCGTTCCTACCCGTGATGAAAACAGCAGTGCTGCTTCCACCATGTACGGAGGGGTCCCCGCTCGTAATTTTTTTTTTGGAAGAGCAACCTTCCGTCATGAGCGCTGAGCCCCACTGCGTTGCTCCTGTGGTATTGAAATCCATTTCTTGCCCGTTCTGTTGGTGGGCGGTCGTTGTTGCGGAAGGATGTGACGGTGGGTCAGGGCTAGGGTTAGCAAATGAGTAGCAAAAGCCTCTTTACTGGATGCCGTCCATCCCTTCACAGTTGCTCCCGTGCTTTCTTGACCCTACCTCAACATTGTTGGACTATATGGTGGTCTTGGCTGCGAAGCCACTATTGATACACCATTATTCTAGAATCTTGCCGTCTTGTCTGGGCAGATACTTGACTGCTGGACTCTGGTGTGGTGTCGTGTGTGGTGAACGTGTTGTTTGGTCGTGTTGTTCCTTGTACTCGGGTAGTCTACAGCAAAACAGGAGGAAGACAAGTTTTGGTATGCTCCTGGACCGCTGTCTGTGCGTCACAGTCAGCTGATGCGCCTTATGCTGTACTGCTGTCGGGGGGTACACGCGTTTGTTTGTGTGATGTACCTGGAGACATTGATTGGCTGACAGCAGTGGTGGTTGTGTGGGTTTGTTTTGTCGTTTGTCGTTTGTCGTTTGCGTGTCACCAATTGTCTATCGCGACGTATGTAAGTTTAAGCACACCCCCCTTGCCCTTCTGTGCAATGCACATCAGAGAAAGGTCTCGCTCCTAACCAGTCATGCAAACATTAACTCAGGTGTTTTCGTGGGTGCTTGCTCCGATGTGAATTTCGTTCTTTGTCTCTACTCCATCCAGTTTTATCTTTGTAGTTTCGAGTAGTGCGAGAGTAGGCGTGATGGACCCCGAACAAGGCCTTTTTTTTTTTTGTTCTTGGATCACGGTGGTTTTAATGTATTTTCATAGGCAGCGAGCGGCAGTAGTATCCCGCATCGCATCGATCGTTAAGGAATAAACAAGGCCGAATTGATAGTTCGCACGTATGTCGAATGTGAAGATCTAACAATATTGGACCGTTTTTGGTGTTGGTCGTGTGTCTATTTTTCACGTCGCCGAAACCAGTCAGCTTGTAAAAAATTAAGATTGAAAGCAAGGGCCACAAAACGATTTAAAGATTCATTAGGTGATTGTATAATTTTTCCGGGTTGGCGCTCAGCTTGATACCGTTGTGCTGGTGGCGCGGAGCCCATCCGCCCTACAATAACATTGTTTTTGCCTGGAGAGGCGACATGTGTTTTAGGAGCACCCTAACCAGAGGATAATCTACTACTGGTGTAAGTTCTCGCGGTTAAGGTGCCGATGCACGCCAATGTGGTCTGATGAACAATGACTGATGTACTGGCTACATGTAGGGCAGGATGCATGCGTCCAATGTACATGGTTTGTTCTACAGTAGGTCTATGGATAGATGGATATGAGTTTTAATTAAGGTTAGCTCGCCGGCGAGATAGATAAGCACGTGGTGCGTGGGAATTTTTTCACCCCGCGATTGAGGAAGGAATGCATGCCAGTTTACGTCGCAAAATAATTTACATCCATGGGGGATGGCCTGGTGCTGTCTGTCTCCTGGCGAACCAGGCTGACTTATTAGGTAACGGACACGTGAACGAGAGAGAAAAAAGGTGCCCGTTCATGTTGTCAACATGCTGCTGTAAGATCACGGACCGATTTCTGCGCATCGTGTCTGTGGCAAGTACGAATACAAATCACACCCTGGACAATATACAATACAGTCAATCCATATCGATACGTTCCTACCGTAATACGTCACGTACTGGTGGCTGTAATACGCACTGACGTGTTTTCTTGAGAGTGTAGCGTTCTGGGAATATGCACGATCGGCAGTTCGTGAATCTACCTCTGGCTCAGTACGCGGTGGTAGCATTTTTTTTCAAAACATGTTGCAACGACCAATGGGTATTGCTCCACATGTTGGAAAGTGCTGCACGGGCCAATATGACGCAATGCATCGACGGAAAAGCATTTGGTTCTCACGATATGTAGACTTTCGATGAGATGTTCAATGATGTGTTGCTCTTTGCACTGCATATCGATACAAACAACGAGTTGTTGTGTACTGCTCTCCGATATACAGTAGGACACAAGATAACACACCCCCTTGACCGATTTTTGAAGCTCGATTTCTCAACTGCCGAAACCGTCACAGCGCCGAAAACGGCGGCGTTGAAACCGTCTCGTCAAGAGCTTTTCGAAAATGTATCGTTTCGTTTATGCATCCTCTTCGTCGTGGAGTAATCGAGCTTTCTTTGAAAATCGGTCCAGGGGGTGTGTTATCTTGTGTCATATACGGTATATCAATGTATTGTATCTGGTATACANGATAACACACCCCCTTGACCGATTTTTGAAGCTCGATTTCTCAACTGCCGAAACCGTCACAGCGCCGAAAACGGCGGCGTTGAAACCGTCTCGTCAAGAGCTTTTCGAAAATGTATCGTTTCGTTTATGCATCCTCTTCGTCGTGGAGTAATCGAGCTTTCTTTGAAAATCGGTCCAGGGGGTGTGTTATCTTGTGTCATATACGGTATATCAATGTATTGTATCTGGTATACAGCAGTATGTATCTGTGGGTATGACCCGGTACGTACCCACTGTCGCTCCCCAAAGTGTACTGACTTTAGTACAGGGCCATTATTATACAGGATTTGCTTTATGATGCATAATATTTTGCATTTAGACCGGTGGCCATGTGCGGGGCTGTACCATTTCCCCCATTGATTGCCCTGACCATCCATCCGTCTTGTCGATTGATAAACGTGTAGAGCACGAGGAATGGTGGCCCATGTAGTTTGGGCCGAGGGAGTGGCCTTTACACCCTGGACAATACTTATTATGCTAATCGAATGTTGGCCTAACAATATAGTTGAAATGTCGATAGTCGATACGTATTACAGTAATCAATATGTATGTACGATGGTTCCGGGTGCATCGATACTGCTGTATGTATTGTGAGCAACGATAGATTGAAACAAAAGACGCGAACACATTTTTGCTCCCGCGATAGGATAATAAACTATTACAAATCTTCGAAACGTATCGCTTCGACCAGCACGCTCTCAGGTGTTCATCTACGGATATTGCAAGGTACGATATATATATATATATATATATATGTTTTCCGTAGTTTAGTGTTAGACNTCTAAGATATCTCTTCAACCACTTGGCCGATTTGACCCAAAATGGTATGGATGGGCTGATGTAGCTGCGGGCCGTGGCTACACAGCGCATTTTGTTGTACGCCGATTGGAGCCCTGTGGGCCAAGAAATGGTAGGTGTCGTATATAAGGAAGTACGACACCGGTGTCGTATACGAAGAATTCGATTGATACATCTTGGAGCAACAATGAATGCGTTGTTGATGATCGTAGCGATCAATATCTATCTATCGTTCAAACACCATGTTGATACATATCGTATGCTGTAACTATCATCAACGCGAAAGAAAACATGCCCCCACAACTTTTTCGCGCTCCGCGCGAAACCCATTTTTATGCACGAACAGGGTTACTGTGAACGCCACGGGGACGAACCAAAACAAGCGAACGGACGTATCGATTGCCTGGCACGCATGCATGCATATCGATCGATACTTTTCGTCTGCATTGAGCCATCCATGCGATATCAATTGATACCATTTCCACGAACACTTTGCTTGATTGAACCGGTAGATAGACTATATATGTGTTGATCGAATTTCTCCAAATATTTTGAACCAACCGATATCAATTGATCCCAATTAATTGTTTACATATACTTCCTCTGTCACATAAGTAAAGTCCGTTATGATTACACGGCCATTTAGCCGTGTCCGATGTCTGAGGCGATACTTTTTTTGAAATCTTGAGCGTTTTTCGGGTTGAAACCCATTTTTCTTGTTTTTTCTTGCGCACTACCCTGCATGCACTAATAGCGGCTTACAAAAAGGTAGTCAGGCAAAAAAGGCCGTATGTATTTTGCCCCTTTCCATTAGGGTGGGGGTGGGGGCACGAAACGAAACAAACCAAAAAAAGACAAGAATTATCCCGAACCCTAAACCCAAGGTTACCTCTACTGAACGATCCATTTCGCGTCCTCCCATACAAAAACCAACATAGTAGTGAACCAACACTAAAATCAAGACATTTTCGAGGCCCACACTAAAACCAAGACAATTGGGGGCGCCACACTAAAATCAAGTTACTTGCGAGGCACAGCCGACAGGCGTAGGGTCTTAACCCTACCCCCCCTTTGTACTCAACGACCCATGTCGCGTCCGCCCAATGTTTTCTAGGGTAATCACTACCAACGCCGTACCGCTCGGCGAGGGGGCCTAGAAAGCCCTTGGGTACCCTTTCTTTGCCCGGCGGAATCGCCAACGCTATCTCCACCGCCATGGCGTACCGACGACCCAACGATACTTCCGCACCCCGCTTACGGCGTGGGGGTGTCTGGGCGTCGTCCCCCATGATAGCTTCGTCGTTGTGGTGGTAGTGGGTGCTCACACAGCACAAAGCTGCAAATATTCTTTAAAATATTCTCAAAATGTTTTCAAAATATTCCCAAAATATTAGTATTCACAAAATAGTCCCGTATTTGACACACTAATTCTCAGTAATTGTGAGTCTGATTTTTTTTTTTTATAGTCATGTGCGTAACAAGCGCTTTCCAACAAACCTAACTAGAGCTTCAGGAACACCTTGGCTGGTGAGGTATGTAAATTCCCCATAACGGACTTTACTTATGTGACAGAGGAAGTATCTTGGTAGCAAATAAATGTAGTGGAAGATATTCTCCCGTTATATTTTAGCCATCAATAATAACAACATATTCGCCTGATTGAGAGCGTAGCATCTGATTGAGAGCGACATTGCGCGATACGCTGTATGTAGCCGGACTACCACTGAGAGGTGGAGCTTGCTGTGTAGCTTGAATTGAAGGGCTAGCCCGTAGCTTCAAGCCGCTACCCTGGTCATCCTGTGGGAGTCTCTCGTTGTGGAGCTACAGCGGGGAGCAGAAGCTACAGCAGAGCCCACCGCCCGACGCGATACCGCCCTGAAACAGTTTGAGCAGAAATAGCCAATCTGGGCAAATCTAGCAACTTGTCTAGCTCCTCGCTGCAGCATCCGATGACGATGACACGCATATGCTCGCGAAGCTGCTGATGAGACCTTCAATTTGCACCGCTTCTTGGAATAGCCCGTCCCCTACTTGCCAAGAAATGGCAAGAGGCGTCTGGACCCGAAATTTCAATTTTTTTGGCTCTCGCTCTCAATCAGATACTTCGCTCTCAATCAGGCGAATATGTTGTTCAATACATATCGATTCCAATAATTAGTATGTAGACTATTGATTGGAGCAATACGCATATATATATCATTATTGTCCAGGGTGTGATACAAATATCCCCCATCCATCTATTTGGCTTTGCGTGGGCTTGATGCTGGAGTTTGAGCAAAGAAATAGTTGGGTTCCAATCAGTGCAGNATCGCGGGCGGTGAGCTCTGCTGTAGATTCTGCTCCCCGCTGTAGCTCCACAACGAGAGACGCCCACAGGATGACCAGGGTATCGGCTTGTAGCTACGGGCTAGGCCTTCAATTCAAGTCACGCAGCAAGCTCCACCTCTCAGCGGTAGTCCAGCTACAGCGCATCGCGCAGTCTCGTTCTCAATCAGAAACTTCGCTCTCAATCACACGAAAACCTTGTTAAATTGCAGTGAAACCATTCGTATTGTGTGTTGTGTGACATGTTGCGCCGGAGTCAAATGTCTACAGACCGACACCTCACCCTTGGCTGCATGTACATGTGTACAGTTTTCAAGTGTCCCGAGCGGAACACTAAACGCTAGCGGCCGCTCAACGACGTCCGTCACCGTCTCGCGACGCGCGCTTTTCATGGCCACGAAAACAAAATCAGGCTCCCCCGCTGTCAGACAATCACTCCCTCCCTCGCTTCAAGGACGTGAAAGAAAAAACGACAACGGTGTCCGGACCGCGGTGTATGGTACCAAAGATTGTCACCATTCCATCGTCGTAGCTGTTTTGTTCAGGCATACTACTGCTGTTTCCTCTAAAAGCCCTAAGCCAATCATCGACAGTATAATAACAAGATACGGAGCACTAATCTCGTACAGCATGCAGACCTCACTGTAGCATATACCTCGAGTACTAGCTCACTTCAAAACACACCTACTTCCTGCATGTGAAAACTGACGAAAAGCACACTACTTACTCCTGATTGGGAGGGAACAGATGGCACGGCATGAGCAAACAGCATGAGCAATGGCGGGAGAGAGAGAGGCAGGCCACCACAGCCACCAGCGAAAAGGCAACTTGTCATTGAAGTAGATCAAACGTATGTAGTCCACTCTGGCCTTTTTGACCTGAACAACAAAAACTAAACTTACGGAAGGAAGAGGAGTAGCTAAATAGTACCAGCTCACAAGCCAACGGACGGAACAGGGGAACAGGGGTGCAGGGGGGACATGCCGTAGCAACAGGAAGAACAGGCAACAAGCGAGTCCATGCGTTCCCTTTCGTTTAAGGCAGGAAGAACAGGCAAAAACTGTGCACCGGATCTCCTCGATGCGACGAGTCACACGCCGTATGGTACGTACAATCGACAATGTCAAATCGGCCGGTGGGCACTTGAACTCCAAACACTATTGAGGTAGCAGGTCTTCAACCTCCACTCTATCTCTGTAACTGTCAGACGACAACACATTACTTCATCTGTATCCCTTCGATCGAACGGGTGACCTCTCTTTGGTGCTTTAAATAATTTCAAGAAGCAGACTAAATCAACAGACCGCGGGAAACGGACACGAAACCGACAATGAAAATGAATACAGTGAGTATCCTGCTGCCCGTCATGCTTGGGCCGATTCGCTTGTGCCCCACAAACAGTCCACAAATACTCCTCCGGCTTCGTCCGGGTCATCACGTGCCGAGACGACAGGCGGTCCATCCGCTTTTGATCTCCGATTGAAGGTCGTTCGGTGAAGCTTGAACTCCGGTGACTGACGTTCGTTCTTATGTAGGCATACAGTAGTCCTATCTTAAAGCCAAGCGACCATCCAGTGGTTGTACTCGTCCCATCGCTGGAAGACAAGTCCGGAAGCGTGAGGTGCGAGGACGGTGTGGGTTCGTGGTCAAGTAAAAATATGTAGTCTTCGGGCTCGGCTTTTCGTTGTCGCTATGTGTTGTTGCAGTCCTTCCAATTTAACTAGCGTAACCTTTGTGACACCTGCTGAGCGTCTTCGAACACACAAAAAAGGGCGAACCGAAGCGGATTTTGTTGATCCCCCAGAAAACAATACACACACACAGTTCCAGCGACTATCGGAAACATTTCATTGAGGGTCGTCCACCGTACGGTATGCACACAATATACGTGTGTCAGACAAAATTCAAGCCCGGTCCCGCTCTAGCTCAATCATCACCGACAGGTGAGGTGGCGCTGGGTCAACACATTGCGAAAGAACGCCAACTTGAAGGGTCAACAGCATTATTAACGACGAAGTCGACACCGACAGTAACGACGACAACGACGACTACCCTAATAGACACCACCAACCCTTGGGACAAGCGCAATCCGTTGGCGCTCGCGTACCTCCAGAGCCTGCGGCTGAGCCGGCTTGTACTCCGCGACAACCTCATCGGTAGTCGCCACCTCGAACCGCTGTACCATCTCTGCAAATTTCTCGGGCATCGAGTCCCTCAGGTTCTCCTGGCGTGCAAGTACCAAAGCACCACAGCAATTACGGCACGAGTAGCAGAGTATGGGGGGGGTTCTCCTGTCAGGGTCACAAAAAAGAATTTACTGCGACAGGGAAGAGAGGAGTTTTGACCATTGACCGATTGCTTCTATCGAGACGGACTATTGCTCCTACATACAGTACCCCGACCACAGCCAGGCGACATTTCATGCCGTGTTCGCAGCAAGCGAGCGGTGGCAGATCGTGCTCACCACACAAACGCGTTGAGACTGCTGCTGTATCATCTATCGTCGAATACGGCACACCAACCTATTACTTGTATTTCTCAGCGCCTATAAGCATTCCCCTAACCGTTTGACTCCCAAGGGCACGCACCGTCTCATAAGGGTCAGTATCGATGTGAAACAGGAAATCGATCAGCTCCGGACCCCCGCAATCGACGGTGCAGCTGGTGCAAGCGTCTTCTAGGTCGCAGCCGGGGTATTCTGAGATGACAGGGTCGTCCTGGCTGAAGGTCGACCACCCAGTGCACCTATGTATGGACGAGGTGAGTGTGGGGTTGTTGCATGGTAACATGTGCGGGATGAGGGGGGG